CAGGCCGTGTCAACAGGAAGGACTGGGCTGGAGATGGCCGTTATCTAAAAATAGGACTTTAAAACTTGTGTAATGGAAAAAGTATTGTGATTGGTTTGTGTCAACATCATATATTTTATGTGCTGCTCTGGGCCTGAACCAATAACAGATGATGACTTGAGCTGACCCAGCGAAGGAGAAGAGTCGGAGGGATTTTATTACTTTTATTAAACTTACTCTGAGTGATTCTTTTTATGAAGAATTTTGTCATAAAGTAATTTAAACATTTAGGTGGAAATAATTTGTTTATTTCTAATTAAGCATTTGAATAATTATTACGTTTAACAAATGTTTTTTAGTTGGCACTGCCAGTTAACTGAAAACTTAGCACAAAAATAGCAATCAAAAACGGACATTGTTCATTAGCAAAAAGGCTAAAACTGATTTCAGAAATGACCACAGTTTGAACATAACTTCACTAAGAAGTTAGCCAGAAAGATAGCTAATCATATATATAACTCAAACTGAGCTAAAATAAAATAAATAAATGTCAAGTTGCAGAAAAGTTACAGAGTGAAGTTAAATAGGAAACAATTGGAATATAAACAAACGTAGAATAACGACTTAAAGGAAGCCGTCATTGGTCGACTCTAACTCACAGCTCTGTGATTACAGCTATTTCATCTATTCTTCATCATTTTATAACAGTTGGGTTGAGTCCTGCTTCATAGTCAACGCCAGATCTCCTGGCCAGGAGGCCATGCATATTCTGTCTGATCTCCTGGCCAGGAGGCCATGCATATTCATCCGGTGAGGAGTGAAAAGTACATTCCATCCTGCTGTACGCAGGTCACGGAGGTGACTGGACTCAGGCCAACTGCACACTGGGGGACGAGGATTGTTTACACTGAGCGCACACTGCTCTTCATCCCTGTATTTACGCTTAGGAGCTCAATCAAAGCCATACCCACAAAACACACACACACAAATTCACACACGCCCTCGTCCGCTCCGAAAGGTCACCTCATTAACATCCCCATACATACAGTCTTTAAAATCTCCTGCTCCAGTATAGCTACCCATCAAAGATGTCCGGGATGGCACTTAGCCGTGTGTGCCTGTGTCTTATTATGCGGACCCATCTGCATGGGGTCAGAGGTCGTGACCAGGTCTGGCAGGGGCTACAGGTGAACAGATGAAAACAGTGGGGGCTCGATTTAATTTAGATGAGCACTACAGGATGTGCTGCGCCCCTGGACCTGGGAAGGACGAGGTGAACTTTTCACACTGCTCCTCAGACTCGTCAGTTCAAATGAGGAAAGTCCCAGAAAATGTTTGAGCAGGAAGCAGATCCTGTGTTTCAGTCACACACATAACAGGTTGGTGGTCCTACGCCGCCCCTGCCCCCTCCCCTATTTTTTTTCACACCTTTGACACACACCCTTGCTCATAATATACATGTGTGTGTCTGTGTGTGTGTGCGCATGTGTGGAGAAAAATCCCTAATCTGGCACAGACCAACTTCCTGTCTAGACTCAGCGTGAGCAGACCAGTACAGACCAGTACAGACCAGTACAGACCAGTACAGACCAGTACAGACCAGCATGCAGAGAGGCCAGTGCTGTGTTTTTGCTCAGGACCAGACACTTAATACGAGCTAACGTCGTTGAAGACAGACTAGAAGTTCTTCAACGGCAGCTGAACATTTGTTGAATTCAAAATGTACTCAGAGCTGAGTTAATAACATATGTTATAAACTAAATATTAACTCATGGATAAAATGGTTAAAATATTTTTTTACACATTCTTATAAAAAATATTTGATTCTAAAGATTCCTAACAGTAAAGACTGACAGGAGGAGCCATCCAACACACACGTACTGCATGTACTTCTTGTACAGTATGTGTACACACATCTATATTACGTCATAAACCATTGGTGGACTATTGCTATTCATGTCCAAAATAGAAGAAGAGACGTTAACCTTTGCCCTCACACACTCAGCGTCCAACGTCTGTTTTTAATTGGACCGTCCCCAGCAGAGCTCCTTTCTGCTTTGCCTGATATTTTGACACTTTCTCTGCCATGTGTGCCAACGTAGCCGTCATTCCAAAAAACAATTTCCTCATTATCCAACTTGCACCACTTACGGGAATAAAGAGGAGGAGGCGGGGGGTTCAATTTTTTTTGGGTGGGGGTAGCAATGATTTGGTTTACAGTAAAAATTCAGTCAGGATGAACTGAAAGATTAAGAGTTTGTAATTCAACCTTCAAACAGGAAGTTAAGGGTCAGTTTGAAATTCAACCTTCAAACAGGAAGTTAAGGTTTGACTACTTAGGTGATACAGTTTAAAAATGAAGTGAAGGAAGTTTAAACATCCCACATTTAGTCAGTTTTAATTTGATACCAAACATCCCATATACACCAAAATATATATTTAACACAGGCAGGGGGCAGTGTCCCTGCTGGAGACGGACACACTACAATGTATCTGATCATTTGAAAACTTAACTTGTAAGTACTGTGGAGCTGCCTCTGGACCACACCCCTGACAGCCCCCTGTCATCAATCACTCACACAAACTCCAGCATCAGTAATCACGACAAACAGCCCAGGGCGCCGCCGTCTTACTCATTCTGTGTACTAATCAAGAAATGCTAAACATGTTTAGCCTAAGCTTTGACACTATTTGTCTGGAGTGGGAATCAACACCGTGGGCGTCGCTATTTCATATTCATGCCGAGGCCCAATGACACCTTGTCCTCCGCCTTCTAAAAGGCCTTAACTCAGCAGATCGCCCTCTTCCAGACCCAGATGTGAAGTGAACGGTCTTGACCCCAGTGACATTTCACTGCCACGATATGCCGTCACGTGACCAACCAACAACATCAGCAGCAGTAGCAAGAGAAAGAGAGAAATGTGATTTGTAAAAGAAAGAGGAAAGATGTCAATTTAAATATTTTGCATAAAAATATGATCATTTTCACTCTTTAAACACCAAATACCAAACCCTTATTTTTTACTCATCCATGTACACAACCAACTTAGCATCGTTTTACAATTCCAATTCCATAACCTTGCAGTAATCTCATCACCATCGACTCCAACTCATCCTCGTCGTTCTGTAAACTCTGTCATTGTCATAATAGCAGATCTCACTAAAGGAGCAAAAACTGAACAACCGATCTGACGTCCTAATAACAGAATCATAAAATGTGTCCTTCCACCACATAACCTTGGTGGAACATAAAAAAATAGATATCTTCCACAAGAAGAAAACCAAATGAAAAATTAAAATAATGATGAATAATGATAACACTGATTGAAAAACAGGCCTCAACCTCTAATAATTTTCCCACTAAAAAACTAGATTTAAATCAGATTTACCAATGCAACTGACGACGGGAAAAAAAAAAAATGCAATGTCGTAAAACCTCAGCCGTGACAATGACAAAGTGACAGACAAGCTTTTCCTGATGCCATGTGACCTCGCTTTAAGTCATCGTCTAGCCAGCGCAGTCTTCCTTTCCTATGGACATGCATTAGGAAAAAACAATGACTAACACAGACGCTGGGCCCATCAGATGAGTCATTCCAGTTGTATTGCCATGACATCCGCATCATTGTCTCCACTGGTGTGGGTTTTAGGGTTCTCCTGTTAGCATTCCTCCTCAAGTGAGTCCCTCGGAATGACTCATCGGCTTGTTACCCCCAGACAAAAGCAGACTTTACTGTGCTGGCATGTCACTGTGCTGTAGTAAGGAAATCTGGGACGATGATGATGATTAGTATTTGGGGTTTGTCTGACTCTGTCTGGCCAAGCTGACGCAGTCAGGCTGTCTGTATTTGTGTTTATCGTGGCAGACGCTCTCGCTTCTCCCTCCTCTGTGGAACCATGATAAAAATCTTGAAAAACCCCAAAAGTGTTTAAGGCTTTAGAGAAAGAGACTCTCAGTTCAGCCAGCTGCTCTGTTAGAACACACACTCACACACAAGTTACAGGCCCGTGCAGTGACACGGACACGTAGCAGGAGCCGAAGCTACGTTACAGAGAAAAAGACGGCCGTTTCCTCCATGCGCCTCAGACCATGTGTTTTCTGTTTTCATCCTCACATGTCGCTGCATTCCTCTGCTGTGTATGTGTTGCTCTAGACGGAGAAATTGCCGGAGAGTGACTCACTAAATCCTGACCCAGCAGTGAGGTAATCACTGGAGTACTTTTGGAGTAAAAGTGAACTCGGACGGTCAAGTCTGGGATCCTGTCTAGGAATCCCCAGACAGTTTGGACTGCTGTGGTGTGTGTGTGTGTGTGTGTGTGTGTGTGCACGGATGAAGACCCCAAACCACTCACATCATCTCCCCACAAACACTGTTGATTTGACAAAGGGAAATAATGTACACGTTCGACCTGACAGCATAATAAGTATTTATTAATTTATAATCAAATAATGAGAAATAATAAAATAATTTATCAGTAAAATAATGTTTTTTTTTATATGAGAGCAGTGAAAACCTCTATATTTTTCCACTTTGATATGAGAGCAGTGAAAACCTCACACACACACACACACTGATTTAAACCATGTCTCCATTCACTGACTTCAGCTAAAATGACCGACTAAAAGTTACATTTGTGACTGTCAGAAATTCTAACTGTCACGTTTCTGCATCCTTAAATATGGACCGTTTTATAGATCGTTCAGCGGCGGCAGATGAGACACAGGCAGCGAATATTGTTTGTTATGTAGCATCACCTGCTGGTTTAATGGAGAACTGCCAACACAGTGGAAAGGATGGGATTCAAACCGCAGCACTGCATTTGTTCACAAGAGGTAATACTTAAAGATAACTTTAGTTGATTTAAAAATAACAAATAAACTGACTGCTGTAAAACAGTGGCAGCCATGGTTAGTGCTTCTGCCTCACAGCAAGAACATTGTCAGTTTGAATAGTTGTTTGTCTCTATGTGTGTCCCTTGGACAATCTGTCCAGGTGTCCCCTGTCCTCAGTAGATGACACCTGAACCTCACCTCATCTCCAGCCCTGGGAGCTGAGAACACAGAGTGTATCTGTAAACAGAACATCTCAATAAACCACAGGATGAAGTGAAGTTTCTGCGTTCAGTCAAATTAAATCAACTGTGGCGCAGCAACTGAAGAACCGAAGACCATTATCATGAACAAACACCGCTTTTTTCCACTGTCATTTCAAGATAAGTCACAAATGATTTCGCTTTGCGTTACAGTTTCCCCCCAAACTATGACATCGCCAAAATTAGATAAGCTTTGATGAGGAACAACGGAGTCCAGTCCTGTGGGAAAGTGTCTGATGGAGACCAGGGACCTGGACACTGGTCCTAAAATAGTTGGACAAAAGCAACGCATCTTCTTCTGTGCCCATTTTTGAATTCCAAAAAAAAGTCAGTCCAACCAACCATTTTGGTCTATTTTAGATTGGAATGCAAATAAAAAGTAAACCAAACTTATGAATGAAGACGTTTAAACCAGAGCCCAGAACAACTTTACGGGAAACTAGTGGCCACAGAAAAGGAAAAAAAACCCAAAGTATTAGAGAAAAGATGTCGAGTCCAAATATAAACCAGTGTATACTGTTAAAATTAGCTCATATTTACAGACCCACAATTGGTGTCTGTGAACCTCAACACAGGGGCCACACGGTGGGAGAGTGGTTGGTACACTTGCCTTAGAGCAGGTCTGATCACTGGTTTGCTCAGTCTATGTTCAGTCCACAAACATATACCATTAGACCAGTTGTTCTCTGAACCGTTTATCGCTCGCCTTTGCCCGATGAAATCATGGCATTGGCCCCAGCTCGCCCCGTGACCCTGAACAGGGCTGAGCAGAGAAGATGAATGAATGACTGTTCACCAAGACCATCAGCAACACATACTCTCTACATCGTACACACACGCTGCCCCTATATAGAACTCAAAGACAAATATTTTCCAAGTTTGGACATCAAAACAAAATCATTCCTGCCATTCTTGACCAAAGGAAACACAGTGAAACGGCAGACCCCATGTTTGGGCACTGGGCCTCCAGTAGTGGAGTGAGCTTTGACCTAAATATGCTCTGAGAAATGCGGATAAGCTCTGCTAATAGAGATAAAACAGACGATGGAAGGGAAAAGATAAAATAACTGAAGGGTCAGTGAACAAACCTCCAGACATCACTGTAGAAAAATGAATTTTACACTGACGCTGGTTTGCAGAGAGCATGGGAAAAACCAGCCTCAACACTGAGGGAAAGATGCTTCTCCTGAACCATAATGTAGTCATGTTTCCAGAATGTGAAGATTGAATGGGTTTGTGGAAACTGGGCACAGGAGACGTTGACAGACGTTGGCCTGGAGTTGGACATTTGCATTTATTAGATGAGGAGGTCAAAGGTGAATTATAATAAAGTTGTGTGTGTTCATATTGGACATGGAAATGTTTTAATTTTTTTGTCTTTTTTGTCTTTTTTGGATCCTAGGGCTGAATTGACTCATAGATGAAACAGTCACCGGACTTATCAACTATAAAAAAAATTATTTGTTGCTGTTCCATAAGAGTAAGCTTTGTGTCTTGTTATTTGCTTGTGCAACCTTTGAGTCACACCACAGGTAACTTAACACTAGAATGATGACAATGTTAGTTTTTATATAAAATATAATATAATATTATAAATTCCTGACTTTAAAGTATGTGTAGATGTATGTATAAAATAATGCTTAAAAAAACATTTTCTATTGTCATTTCACACTCGGTCGGGTAATATGGGCAGATAACGAAGATTCACCACTAGATGGCAACAAACCAACCCAACATTAAACCCAGAGATCTCCAAATATCCAAATCTACTTTTTAATTGCGCTGGAAAAACTCCTAATAAATTTATTCCAACATGACGGATTTATAAGGAAAAACTGAGCCTCGATATTTATTCTGTGACTTTCCAACTCCGTATAAAAGCACGTGTTGAAAAGAGATATACAGACGCCAGTCCGGGGCTGATGTCTGAGGCGCACTGTTGTGGTTGAGATCCGGTCTCTCCCCGGTGCTTGCGGTCGGTCCCTCCTCCATCAAACGTCAGACACTGGAGCTATAAAGCCCAGTGGAGGCCGGAGCGAGCGCACAAAAAGTCCCATATACCTCATGAACCTGACAGTCTGAGGTCCGCCTCCTCTCAGACAACAGGAGAAAGTTTAATGAGGAAGAGGAGCCGAGAGAGATGCACAACTTTGAGAGCTACAGGACAGCGCACAAGAATGCAAAAGACACAGCAGACAGTGACGAATTTACCGGATGAACTTCACTCATGTGGGAGAGTTTCTTCAGTGACCAGGCTGCTGTCTGTTAATGGGTGAGCGCACACTTGGATTTCTGATGACAATAACAGGGACCGTCAAGAAAAAACGCATGGAGTGAGGAGCTCTTCATCCAGGCTTCCAGAGGAAATCAAATAATCCTAATCTGAAGATAAACTAACACTGACCTCGGCTGACGTCACCTGTACAATCTGCACGTTTCTGTCTGCCAAACGAAGGAGAGATGCATTTGGGTAAAGCTGTGCTGTTCGTCCTCCTCCTCAACTGCGCAACGTTGAGCTCCTGCCTGTCAACCTGCGCCACCGTGGACATTGACCACGTGAAGAGGAAGAGGGTGGAGGCGATAAGAGGTCAGATTCTGAGCAAACTGAGACTGACCAGTCCTCCACACTCACTGGGACCCAGTAAGATCCCCTACCAGATCCAGGCGCTGTACAACAGCACCAAGGAGCTCCTGGAGCAGCTCGGCAGGGACCGGCAGCAGAGCTGCGGTCAGGACAACACAGAGACAGAGTACTATGCCAAAGAGATTTATAAATTCGACATGGTGACGCCGGAGAGTAGTAAGTATCGCAGTACTTCGGTACAAACTTTGCATGACACTGCACTTTGGGGCCAAGTGGTGCGTAATACGCACAGACCCCAGAGACAGGACGCGCGACACTCAGACTCCAGTTTGGTTCCAAGTGCAGCAGCTTGAGGCTGAGTCACTGCCGCACGACGCATGTCCACACAAACCACAAGGCAACAGTAGACCTCCATCCACTCTAAAATGTAGAGTATGTGGAAATTTCGTAAACAATAGGAATTATTTTGAAAATAACCCTGGAGTTATTTCACACTGGATACTAAATTTAAAAACCGATCATTTATGTCCAATTTCACATGGCAAAAATAAAATGTAACTTCTTTAACTTCTCCACGGTGAACCCTGTTGGTTGGATAGCAGACAGAAGTAGCTTCACGTTTGGGCCTGGTTATTAGATGATGCGTTTCAGGACACAATCTTAACATCTTTTTAAGAAGGTTGTTGTTGTAACGGTTTTAAAGAGACTGGTCGTGTTTGAAAATCAGATACATATTTAAATGTAGTACAGTCTCTACAGAGCAATGGAGTTTTCAAATGTTACTCTTAATTGTTGCAGAAAAAGTTCTGACCAGGGCATTACAATGTATAGCATCCCCTGCAGGAGAGAAAGGGACGTACATGCTCTTTGTTTACATTAAATACCAAAATGAAAAACAGAACAAGACAGACAACATCTTTGCCATTTTCTAATGATCGTGATCAGGGAAAATTATGTGGTTTAAAAAGATCATTTGTTCCCCTAACCCAACCTTGAAATGTGCAAAGACTCATTTCTTCACTCTTATACATTAGTGTGACACCAATTCCCCCACAGCCTTATTAAAAGATGATTATTGCTTATTTCTTTTTCTTCTAAATTTTACCCAACACATCTGCCAAATCTCAGAATGAAGACTACAAACAAATACTTGGATCATGATCCAGACTTTGGGAAAGACCTTTGTAAAAGCTGCGTCTTGATCCAAAAACTCTCACCAACCTGTTTTAACCCCAGTGTTCCAGGAAAGTCGTCTCCTCCTCCTTCTCCTCGTCCTCCTCCCCTTCAGACTGACTCCACTCTCCCTCCTTCTTTTTTCCATCTATATGGATCCTGTCCCTCTCCCCAGATGTTCCTATTTCCCTTTCCAGTCAGGCCCAAATGAGAGGGACATCTGCCCAGGGAGACGGACGGGGGATTGCCTTTAAGAGAAAGAGTAGGAAAAGTTAACAGAGGTAGACGAGAAAAGTCAGACGATAGGAAGGACCAGCCCGTTAAAAAGAATTATTTTCCAGAGTTTGACTTTACAGGAGTGGGGAGACCCTAGAAACTCAAACATCTTCACACAGAACTCCAAGTGACCTGGACTGTGAATCACCCACACGTGTGGCCCACGAGCATGAGATCACTTTCTGTAGTACTCAGGCCTAACTGAGAGTGAAGTTGGGCCAACATCCATCCCATTAAACACAAATGATTCCATGGTTTTCATGTTATCATTAGACTTTATCTTCACCTTAAATCTGTGTCATTACTTCGTCCTGCTTTACGGTTTAATTAGAGGCCGCAACCAAAGCCTGAGCACCGAGGGACATGTGTCGGCACTTTAGCGAGGCTTCAACAGCGTGTAGTCCAACACGGTTGAGATTAAATGTGTGTGCGTGTGCATGAGAGCTGGACAGGGCCACATGGTCCAGGAGGGAGGCCAAGATGATTGCATCACAGTCCCTTTGAAATCAACAGGTGTTTTTCAAAACGGCCAATTTCCTCTCAGCTCGGTTCTGTTTTGAGTCTCGCAAAACGCCTCTGACAAAAAGTGTGTGCTGTGGGAAGTGTGCTCACAGACAGTCTGTAGGTGCCACTGACCACCGGCAGAAAGACATTAGTCATCATCTCTAACTGGAAGTCTGAAGTTATCATATTTTATAAGAATGACCTCATGTGACTGGTCCAGTAAATGGTCTGTAGAATTCTGGTATGAAGACCCCAGACTTTAAAATACTGTCATTAGAAATACCTAGTAGTAAAAATAAACTATAGACTTCTGCATAATTGATTCATTAAATGTTCAAGTGTGTACCTGAAAGTAAAAACCCTGCAGTACTGCAAGTGATTAGGAGTATTCACCAGGATTCATCAAGATATTACTAATCAAGATATAAAAAAAAATACAGAAACATATCACAGCTCAATGACAGAGATAAAAAAAACTTTGAATACTGGCTGTAACACTTTAAAGATACTTCTTTGCATGTTACAGTTACAATCAGTTTTACAATATTACAATCAGTTACTTTTTGTGATAATTATATCTGTCTTAGAACTTTATAACTGAGAAAAATTGAGCCAGTAGGTGGCAGTACTAAAACTTTGAAGATTAAAAAAAAACAAAAAACATCAGGAGTAAGAAGGAAAGCTTATAGTAAAGAAAGTGAATGTGTGATTGTTATGGAGGTGTACAGCTCCATAACAATGATGATTAGTCTGCTATACTGTTAACGACAGCGTTAACGACATCTGATGTCTTTCCTAGTTCTTTTACCCACTGGATAATGCCAGGCTACATGTAGCAGTAGCTCTTGTAGTAAAACCTTCAACTCAGTTACAGAATCTGCAGGATCTGGCCTGACAATAAACAATACTCGTGCGCTAACGAATACAAACATTCAACTTGCATTAGCATAAGAAAATTGCACTTGCAGTTCTGAACCATTCTGGTTTCTGGGAGGATATAAAAAGATTATGACTAATGCCTGGTCGGGTCTTGGCGTAGTTCTTTGTCAGGTGCAGGGAAGTATTGTAATTTATGTGAAAATAACCAGCACCTCTCCATTTGCTGACTAAACAAGCAGTAGATTAGGGTAAGGAGGGAGGTCGGGAGTGGGGGGGGGAGGTTACAGGCACACAGTTCTAACATAAACATCCACTAACAGCTGAAATGGGATCTTCAAAGGGCTTTGGCTCTGAACATCTTAACTCTAGTATCGTCCGTGGATGCCATGACCCTAAAGCTTCATGACTAACGGGTCTGCATGTGTGAACTGAAGTGTCTGAACCGTTTAATGCGGACACTGAGCAGACCCCTCACTGCCAGTTACCCACTGCCACCCCTGTGTTATGTTGGATTAGGCAATTGGGAGAATAGAGCATGTCATTGTCCAGAAAATTCACAGTGAGTAAATGATGATGAAATGGATCTGGTGCCTCCTGCACAGCCTTCTCAGATGCCATCCCATCCAGGAGGTACAACAAGTCGCAGTCACGCAATCTTTGTTTTTATGCCACATGTGTAGAAAAAAATAAAATAAAAATAGGCTCCACATTTTTAAGAGTATTCTGGCGTGGATATGAAGACAAATAGGAGCATATGTGAAAAAGCCTTAGGTTTATATGATTGGCTTAGTTTGGCTAACTGAAATCTGTAATAGTGTTTCAATGTTAATGTTGTTTCGAGGACCGCCACACTCCAAGTTTGGATTAAGTGGTTTGAACGGAGTGAACATTTGCAACCATATTTATTCAGCAACTAAAGGTCCTTTAAATAGGCCACTTAGAAAAAAATCAGCTGTACTACATTTCCAGAGCCTCCATTCTGCAGTGGAATTTGTCAGGAGGCTCTTCTGATTATGATGGGAAGTGTAGAAATACACATCAATCTGTAAAACCATGTCTTTATGCGATGTACTTATTAATAGAGCTACATGTATAAAAATGTCTTCATGCGATGTACTTATTAATAGAGCTACATTATTTCACAGTTTCTTCTTCCTCTTCCAAAAGAGGGAGCCAAAAATATAAATAAACACAAATATCATTACAAATGCAATGCAGTGTGAACCACTACTCCATAGTGACTTAAACACACAGTTGTGCCTTGTAAGTTACAGGTACATGTTGCACAGCAATTTTGATTACATTTTTGAGTATGTGAATTAACAAAATGGTCAAAAAATGTTAAATATTATTCCTATTTACTGTTAAAGCATCACAGAAAAATACACAATACATGTCATAAAAATATTGGCCAATGACAATGGTTGGTCTAAGTGAAGCTGTGACCACTCCAGTCTAATCCAATCCAGTGTATTTGAATCATGTCTAATGTAATCCATTCCAATTCAATCTGATCTAATCCAGTCTAATCAGATCCAATCCAGCAGAGCACATGTTTAAATACCATGACCATTCTGTGAGTTCCACCGTCACTAAGTGTCTTTGTTTCAGATAAACATCTAAGTTCCACCTTGGCCCAAACTTTCCTCTCTTCTTTTCTGTACTCCAGACGATGTGCACTATTGTGTAAAAGGCAGCACCTCAAAGGTTTTTCGCTTCAACGTCTCTGCCATGGAAAGGAACTCGACCAACCTCTTCAGGGCAGAGTTCCGTGCTCTGAGGATGCCAAACCAGAGTGCCAAGAAGAACGAACAGAGGATTGAGCTCTACCAGGTGTGTAAAGACACACTCTTCACTTCCTTACACGCACATCAAACGTAAAGCGCTCACGGCCAGGACAGGGCTGCAATCAAAATATGCAGAAACCTTAGCATGTATAAGCCGACTTGTTCTCCACCACACATTTAAGAACCCAATTTAAAAAGACGCCAACAACAACCAGATTGTGGTCTGAGGTGTCGGTAAGAGCCAGGCCGAGAGCCAGAGACTCCTCCAGGCCTGCAGAGTGTTTGAAGAAGTGGCACAGGGTTTGTGTTAGTGCAGTGTTGGCAGAGCACATCCATCATGGTCATACTGAGGTTTTTACCAGTCACTGCTAATTCAAATGGGCTCACAACTGCACAGCGCTAAGAGGAGCCAGTCCGTGTTTTAAAAACTGGAGTCCACATCTTCAGGACTCTGTTGTTAGGGAGGGAATATGAAGATGAATTTTTCAAGTCTGGCTCTTGTCATACATTTTCATTTTGTAAATTATTGCTAATACTCAGAATTCACTATTTTTTGTTATTTGTTATTTACAAGAGAAAATGTGTTTAAAATATGTTATTTACAAGAGAAAATGTGTTTAAAAAAAGTAAATAACATAGTAATACTGAAGTATTGACACTAAATACTTAAAAGCATGCTCAGGGTCAGGGTTAAAAATATTGTCCTAATTTCAAAAACAAAATACAAAGTCGGAGTGGAGGAGAACAATTCAAAAGTATTTTCTGAATATTTCTACGACTAAAATATAAATCTTGAAATATTATTTGTAAAGAGAAAGCACTTTAACGTTTGTTTTCATTCAACTATCTGGCAGATCCTGAGGCCAAACGAACACATCACAAAACAGCGCTACATTGCAGCTAAGAATGTGCTGACCAGAGGAACTCCAGAATGGGTGTCCTTCGATGTGACTGAAACTGTGAGGGAATGGCTGTACAACAGAGGTGAGACCCAGACCACCACCATCACTGCGTCCTTTATGTCCATTCACTGACATGAGACCCCAGGGTTTTCTGACTTCACACCAAGTCACTGGTTTTTGGGTTTTGTTTGGCGACAGGAAGTAATCTGGGGCTGGAGATCAGTGTTCACTGCCCCTGCCACACCTTCAACCCTAATGGTGACATCATCGACGATGAGAAGGAGGTGCTGGAGGTGAAATTCAAAGGTGAGCATCTGCCAAGTACTAGTGTATATAGATCTGTGGTATTAGAACGTGCAGCTGTATTCTCTGTCATGTATAGAAATACAACGCTCAGTTCTTGTAAGTATGTAAAACACTAAGAGCTGTGAGCAATGCTATGTCTAGAGGCTAAGCTATAGATGCTAACAATTTTACTTTATGTTATAGTTATCAGAAGTATTAAAGGGACAACTACTGTACTGCTATGACCACTTTTGGGTTTACCATATTTTCCGGACTATAAGTTGCTCCGGAGTACAAGTCACACCAGTGCCCTCTAGCGGCTATCAGTGTGAAAATAATAAACATGTTAAAGTGTATACTTTAATATATAAGTCGAACTTCTGTATAAGTAGCATACAAAAGGTGTGACCTATAGTCTGAAAAATACGGTACACTGAATATCTGACTCCATATCTGTCTTCCTTTAAGGTGAAATACACTGAATATTTGACTCCATATCTGTCTTCCTTTAAGGTGTGGATGGAGAGGAGGAGCCGAGTCGTTGGGATCAGGAGCAGAAGAAGGACCCAAAGAATCAAAAACAACAGGTCCTGCCTCACCTCATCCTCATGATGATCCCACCACACCGTTTAGAGACTCAGCACACACGCCGACGCAAGAGAGGCCTGGACTCAAACTACTGTTTCTCGTAAGAGACGCAGACCTTACACTTACAGATTAGAAGAATGTGAATGGCCGTCATGTGTTGTCTGACCCAAACTCATTTCTGACCACAGAAGCACTGAGCAAAGCTGCTGTGTTCGTAAACTTCACATTGATTTCCGTCGTGACCTGGACTGGAAGTGGATCCATGAGCCCAGTGGTTATGAGGCCAACTACTGCTCTGGGCCCTGCCCTTATCTGAGGAGCGCAGACTCCACACACAGCTCAGTAAGAAACACTTATTTTACATTGTTACAACTAAAAAACTATGTTTCCAATGCTAGAAATATTTAGCACCATTTTGTCAAAAATTAAACCGTGTTTCATGTCTTTTTCTTTCAGTTGTTGGGTCTGTACAACACCCTGAACCCAGACGCGTCGGCCGCCCCCTGCTGTGTTCCTCAAGACCTAGAACCTCTGACGATACTCTACTACTCTGGACGGACCCCGAAAGTGGAGCAGCTCTCAAACATGATCGTCAAGTCCTGCAAGTGTAGCTGAGACCACACTGAAAGTGCGTGGTAAACTTTGACTAGGTACTGACCCAACCCATGCTTGTTGACTTCTGGACTCGTAGCTGTGACAAAAACCCTGTGGACTCGTGGCTTAGATTTGAAAACCACTCTGGAGGTCACACGTCTTTGGACAAGGATAGAGATTTTCTGAAAACTTGAGGTCTTTCTTTACTTATTGTTTCTCGTTCGCTGACTTTTACAAAAGTCCAATCCAAACCAAAAGCAGTCCCACAATCAAGGTACGATCTTACCAGTTGCCACTCTCTGAATTTATGAAAGAGGAAAAAGAACATTTAAAGCTAGATTAAGCTTCTCTACATCAACATATTCCACAAAGTAACAGTCTTAACTTTTAATGGAGCAGTTTTCCTGTTTCTTGCCATGGAATATTTCTTGAAAACAGTCACAAAAGTAATCAGTCTTAGCTTGAATGATTAAAAGAGTCTTTCAGAGGCTGGATTCCTCCGCCTGCTGTAGGCTCCTGTTCCCTTCAAACAGAGGGCATTATCTTCAATCACAAAAAGAGAAAGGACAGACATGCTGCTGAATCCAAAGCCATAGCTGTGGTTAGGAGAAAGGAGGAGAGTGAGAGAGAGAGAGCAAGGTGGAGAGAGAGTGTGAGAGGTAGAGAGAAAGAGAGAGAGAGAGAGAGAAAAAAAGAATGCTCCCTGGATTTGCAATGGAAAGTGAATGAACAAAGACACAGAGCCAAGCTTTGATTTTTTTTTTGGCCGACCGGCAGCAGCAACAAGTCTTTTTCGGTGAATGTGACAGAATGGATGGAGAAAGAAGACGAGGGAAGAGAAAACGAGGGGTGAAGAAGAAGAGGTGACTTATGGAGGGGAGGGACTGTGATGAAAAGTAGCCATGAGCAGACGGCCTAGAAGTCTCCATCGTCAACAGGTTCAGACTGTTTTGGAGCGATCAAAGATCATACTGGAGGAGAGAGAATTATGCAAGAGCTTTTTATTAGATTTTTTTTCCATTAATAGCAGATTTGGTCCGTTATGCAACATGTCGTACAGTGTTTGTTTCACCACTGTGATAAAAACTGACTTTTTTTTTTCTATTTTTCTAAAACACGTTTTGACATTGAAACATAAGAACTGTTATTTTTCCCTTGATGCAGGAGGACAATGGAACTTGTTCATGCCTAAAAAATGAGTTTGCCATCGTGTATTTGATCGACTACAGTGTTTAGTGAGAGTCCAATTATATCAAAGGTGATTAATGTCTCCAGAAAGGAAAAAAACACATGTACCTTTTCCCCCAACAATGACATGGATTAGAGTGACATGAAATATGCATCTGTTTTCTTCCTTTGAAACTCACCAGTCGCACTGACACCAGCTATTTAGAGCATATACAATAAATGGACATAGATGTGCAGTTGCAAAAGTGAAGTCTGAGAAAAAAGAAAACTGTGTCTGAAGAGTACCTGTTTAGGTGAGTACAACACTTGATGTACTCACAGGAATTGAAGAAAGACGCACTCAAAGACCTTCAACAACTCTGAGCCACTCTCAAGTGTTTAGTTTTTATAAGCCATCTTGCTGCCAACTAGTGGAAGAGTCACCGTCACACAGACAAGCGGAGAGAAAAGATGAGCAGTGTCGGAGAGAATGGACTTAAACCAGACCCTAAACTTCACTGCCATTATAAATACAGCAACAAGAAGTACTTTAATGTCTTCTTCTAAGGCTTCACTTTTGCATCCACTGCCTGACGTGAGGGTTACGTCCATTTGTCATACCTGATGTATGTTCCCACCGGCTGACAGAGAGTCTCACGCGTCGTGTCGTGCAGTCTCCTAACTCTGGTGTCGGTAAAACACTGCAGTCTTTCATTCCCTCTGTTTGTGTTGGTGCTCTTTAACAGTTCCGAGCTCTAAAGGAACAACAGAAAGTTGAGGGAGGAGAAGTCAGAACATGACAGTGGCTGGATGTTAGAGTTAGACCTCATTTTTCACTGCAGTCAGGAAAGCCATGCTGGATCCCTGTACTGTCTGACGTCGACCAAGTCAGTGTCAGTGTTGTTTTTGTACTTTTTGTGACTTTTGTTTGACTTGTTGATTGTGATTATTATATATAAAAAAAAAACCACCATGCAAAAACCCTGTATGAGCTCTTCTTAAAGCATGAGAATCACACAAAATAATCCAGTGTCACAGATCTGCAAAAAGATTTAACTCCAAATTAGGGGATGATGAATTTACCCACCGGTCTCCTCTGCCATATTGAAAGGCCATTTAAAAATGCTATTTTCTCATAATGTTTTGGTTCCACACAAACATAATTTTTCTTGCTTGAATCTCACCAGTCCCACCTGTTTCCTGCAGGCGCACGCAGAGGCCTCCTTCATAAACCAGAGTAATAAATTCAACTTCTGCTTCTTTGGAATTGCTGCTTAACAGCTTTCCCAGGCAAAAAGCAATTACTCTTATTTTCAGCAGAGACATCACCAGAGCATATTAATGCACAGACCTCCTTTTATTTTCTTATTTTTCACAAAACGGTTCGTATAAATCACACACAAACATGAGCAATGCTTAACACATTTGGTGCTCGCCTTCCAGACGTTAATCCACCCTGCTGGACGACCTTTGCCGTGTCCTTTAGGTTTGTTAATTCAACTGGAGTATTATTTCACCTTGTTCCTTCTGAACAACAGCCTTTACGGCACCTGGACTTTAATGGTATTATTTCTCCACTTGAAAAAGGCTGGATCTGAAGTCAGAACCAAAAGAGTCCTTGAATCTTGAACTGTAAAATTGATGACTTATGTAAATACATTACAAACTAACAAGCTTTCTCCAAGGGCTTGTCTTGGTTAATAGCTCACCAAGTATTGACGGTGACGGGAATAGCTAGCTCAGTCAGGGTTGCGTTAGTGGACACACTTACTGGATTTCAGATCAGCAGCACAGATAAGGGGTGGGGGTCCAGCATAGGGACATTAGGGTGAATTAATGTGGCCTGACAAGTGGGCAGAGAGAATTTCTTTTCTCGGTGTGCCCGTTGTTCCCCGTCACAAACCATCACCGATAAGCCATGATGGAGACAAAGACCAGAGCAGATCAACAAACCAAACCAGGGTTGCTAAGTCAAAGGCCTCGCAGACATCCTGCTCTGTGCAAACAAACACATTACTGGCAGGCAGCAGCTGGGCTACATGCGTGACTGACTCTGAACCTGCACCAAAAGTGACCTGCTTTCATTCAGTTCAGTTTTATTAAGTTCACAGCAGCACGGCAAGGTAACGCAGAGCAGCTACGTGTCCCTGTTTACTCCTTCCAGTCGGTAAAACTCAACCAAACTCTTTGGGTCGACTCCCAGCCAGATTAAAATAATAGAGCTTATTCTTCCAGAGAATCTTTTCCCATGTCGGTGTAATAGAAGCAGCCTGAGGAGTCGGTGATGGCGAAGCCTCTCCGACCAGAGCCTGCTGATTGGCCTGGCTCTTTGTCTTCATGCAAGGAGTCATTTTGAGTTCCACTGAGGCAAGACTCATTGTTCAGAAAGCCACCACACAGACAGAGCACCGCTCACAGTCAGACTGGGAAATTAACTAAGGTTTCGTGACTCTGTGCAAAAAGCTGTAGGGGCATTTTGAGTAATTTCGTGAGTAATGTTATCACACTTTGGTAAATAACTTAGTTTATCGAGGTTTACAGGATACAAATGGAGTTTGAATAGCTAAGCCAAATCAGGCTTTTTTCACGGTTTTCTAACTAAAACTTTGAGGTACTTTGCAGTATTTTACTGAATATTTCACGTTAGACCAGGCATGGGCAAACTAAGGCCAAATTTTTCTAAATTACATCATTTATTTATATTATCATTATACTTCTGCCTTTTCCCTGCAATACCCATGTTTCCTCAATAGATGGCATAGAAAATGATAAAAGCATTTTAGCCTTTACGCATGACTTTTACATGTCATTGATCTTAGTTCACACAAATGCTCCATTTATCTCCTGACCCCCCCCACCCCATTCAATTTTAGGACAATTGTGGACCCCCCGACCCCATTCAATTTTAGGACAATTGTGGTCCACCAGTCAAAAAGACAATGGCCATTGGCTTTAAAAACAATTTTTTATAGATTTTTTTTAGATACATATTTTACATACATAAAAACTTAAGTATTTGTTTATTTTTCTCTTTCTTTGCATTATTGGAGTTCTTAATCTTTGTAACTCTAGGTTGGATTTGAACTTTTTTTCATTACAGCACTGAACAAAGAGAATAACAACAGGCCGTCGAGCTTAGCAAGATGTGATTGGACCACAGTGGGGTGCAAACCTATAGCAGTGCTGAGCAGAGAGCAGAGTCTCCATATTTGCAGATACTACTGTAGTGTTTCCCCAAAGGTATACAGTATAAACAAAAACACTGATTTTGTTTGGTTATACAAAATTGATGTACAATAAGGAATAAACTCGGCGTACACGTAGCCCCAGGAAGTATAAAACCACGAGTCACACGTTTAACTGAGAGAAGAGGATTTGAGACAAAGATAAAACCAACTGTTGGCGAGAAGGTTGGACGGTCACCTCCGCCTCCAAATAACCATACACCCTAATTCTACATCAGCGAGCCACCAACTGAGGACGTCACAGTGTGATTCTAGCTCAGGGTCCTCCTCTGTGACGCAGTCTGACTTTCTCAGAACGGGTTCTCTTTCCAGGTCTTACCAGTGATGAATTGCATGACACGTAAATGCACAGAGGTTTGGAAAGTGTCCGCTGCTATTCCCTGAGCAGATTAACAGATGTGGAGGGGGGAAAAATTGAGAGGGGGAAGTAAGAAGAAAGTAAGAGTGTGTGTGTGTGTGTGTATACATATGTGTCCTCAAAAAGTGCTGCTGCAATAAAATCATCAGGTCACATCAGACCAGTTCTCAGGCCCCAGGGTGGAAAGAGTTGTGTAATTCTTAAATAGGAAGAGCACTCACAGTCACACGCACACACACGCACACACACACACACACAGCAGTCATGCTTAATGGAAAACAGTAAAGGGGTGAACAAATATGTAAACACATATCAACTTCATAGACCTTTACAGCTAAACAAATGAATGGGAGGTCTGGATCAAACTACTGCTTTATATTACAGCAGTGTGTGTGTGTGTGTGTGTGTGTGTCAACTGCATTAAGGGACATGGTGTAAAAATCTTACAGAATATTTAACCTTATTTTTAGAAAAACTAAACTAAAAAAAAGTAGTTTTTTAAAGTTAAATATTAAAAATGTTGGAAAATTCATAAATAAAAAGCCGGTTCAAAAGTTAGACCACACAAGTCCAAGGTAAAAAAGAAAAAGGCCAAAGTCGCCTTAACTGCTGAACGAAAATCCAGTTCAAAAGTTAGACCACACAAGGCCAAAGTCGCCTTAACTGCTGAACGTAGACAAACAGGAGCCACACCCAGACAACAGAAGATTGAACATGATCCTGGAAGTAGCCAAAGACCATTAGCGTTTGCCAAATATATATCTGAAATATTCTGTTTTCATACTTTTTCAACAACCTTCAAAGTCCATAAATTGCTACAAGCGAAGAAAAAGTGGCTAAAAACAGGCCCCATATAAACTGTAACTTTCTTGTAACAAGTACAACAGCTAATAGTTAGTCAAAAAAGAACTGGCAGAAGCCCCAAAACAGCAAAAATGGTACTGAGACATTTTTATATTAGATTTAGATTTTAGACATGAAAAACGTAGCTGTGAAATTCTTCATTCAATACAACACTTTTTAACACTTTCTCATATTTCATCTCCAATTTTTCTTCAGTCTTCAAGTCTTTAACTACACATTAACACATATTGTGATTAGTGTTTTGTGTGTCAGATAAAATCAGAGAAAATACCTCCTGCTCATGAGGAAACATCATCATCCCAGGGGCAAACATTTAAACAACATTCTGTTAAAAAAAGATTTTAAAAGAGCTCCTCTGTTTGCAGAGTCAGCAGTGAAGTGTACGTTCTCTCTGAATATTTTCTACGATCCTCCTGTCCTCCTTCCTTCACCTCACCTCTATATGAAGTGGATGAAGTGGGACATGAAAACCTCTCCTGTATGAACAGTGTGTGGGTCCAGCTGCTCCCATGTGATTTGCATGTACAGCTCATGTAAGATGATAAAAAAAATAAATAGAAAAAAAGCAGGCTGCTAAATCATGTGGACACCTGCGCAGTAATACTTGTTAGACTGTAGTCTGGGTAATGCTCAAACTCTGGCTCTCCCACACACTCACCTCCCAGAGGATTAGCACAGACTGATGAGGGAAGTCATATCTTTAACAACCTCTTCCACAGCTGCCTTCTCTCACACAGGTAATGGAGACGGTGCCAGCAGGACGCCTCCTCCTGCACAAGCTCCGAAATGAGGACTTACGTGGTATTGCTCAGTTTATCGTCTCTCCGCCTGGATGTTACAGATACTGGGGATTGAACCGATGAAGACAACTAGGCTGCGGCCTCTGCACTAAAAACGTAGAGATTTATAACATTTGGATAAAGGCTGAGGAAGACAACGTGTCCAGTTAGTGACCGACCAGGAACACACTGACATTGGAGAAATGGAAGTGAACTTTCTCCGACAGCAGTGAAACGACCATTATCCTGTGTATGTGTCGATGAACTCCTAACAAATGTACGACACGTTACTTTGTCGTTCAAGGAAAGGTTTCAGTTTGAAAATAATTAACTAGTTAAAGGTTTTCAGCATTATTAAGCAACAGTGACTTTTTCCAGACTATAACTATAACTTTAAGCAACTCTCCGGGCTAATGTTTAGTCTAACTAACTCGAGGTAAATTGTAAATGTATTTGCTATTTTTGTAGCTCTTTACCTTGAACATCATTTGAAATGTTCCACTATTGTGATACAAATACAAAAATGGAAAACAGCTACACAAAAAAACATGAGCTACATTTTATTTGTAATAATGCAGGGGATTTGTATGACACTTAATCTTGGTCTCTGTTGGCTCTATGGGATTATTAGCAAATCTAGTCCCACTTTAAAAAAAAAAAAACCTCAGACAACCATGAGCACATGTGAACAATAGATGCCACAGTTGTGGTTCAATCCACT